GAAGATTGACTGACTTTGTTCAGCCTCGTGTTCTCTGGTTCTGCCTAGGTCTTGCAGACTTGGACAGAACTATCATGGTGGTTTATTGAGATATCATGCTCCGTTGTATGAATGCACTGGAGTCGATCCATTCTTCTGTAATCAGAGTTTGGGATTGTTTTCTTTTTGCTGTTCTGTAAAGCACTACAATAAACACAAGGGGTGCATATTCCCATCTTTTTGTAATATTTTTGAGATTTACGCACACCGTGGTTTGGGGTTGGGACTGGAACTTCAATCTTCTTATTGAGGATGAGCAGTGGGGCTGGTGGCCCCAAATCATTCTATTTCCTTTTGGTCTCCTTCAGATTCCTCTAGGAGACAGAGGTTCTCGCTCAGCTCCCGGAGTCAGTTTCAGCGCTGTCATGTGCTTGCCCTCATCTTCAAAGGCCTTTGCCCCCGAGTCTGAATCACTAGTATATCAGAAGCATTGTTTTGACAGCGGCGGCGGTGGTGGCGGCTTTACTCTGACTCTTGAAGAAACTATCAAAAATTCTAAAGCCTGGAAAAAGTGCTCAAGGAGAGTCTCTTTGTTCAGAGCCAATTTAAATGCAGCACAAAACTCTCCATCCTTTCCGAACATCCCTGATCTGGATTTCCAGTTTTCTGAGGAGGACACATTAGCATTCTTCCCCGTCGCCCATGGATCGGTTTGTCATCCTGGGTGGCTTGTGTATTACTTTGATCTCGGAAGCTGTACCACCAATCTATCGAGTACCAGCAGGATCACCCCGGACAGACAGGTGCCAGCAGCACTAGCACACTGAGATAGACTGTGAAGAAAGGCCGGGCCATTGGCTGGGGAAATGTAACCAGTGAAAACCGTAGAGATCCCAAGAGAATGCCACTGGTGCGGCGTCTTGCTGGAACACGAGCCCTCTAGGTTGGAAAATAGACAGTAGCACAACCATGAACTCACACGTGTGGACGGCCTTGAAGATAATGGCACAAGACCGTATAACATATTTGGGCCGGACCTGGGGTCAATGTGAGTCGGAGCCAACTTCAGGGCAACGAACAAGAACATATGAGGGTTGTTCAGAAAGTATCGCCACAGTTGATTCCAAACCAAACATGTTGAAACAAGTCTTTGCCATCATGAGCTCCCTCCATAATACACTGGACTTACACGCCGTGGGGTGACATTAGGAAAACAGAAGCGATCCAATCTAAGCAGGGACTTCCTGCAGAACCCGTGAAACACAGGCAGAAAGGTCAGCTCAGATGGTTCCAGTGACTGCTTCTTGGCGGCGGTGTGAGACAGGGGTGGACTAGAGAAACAAATCCAGAGACACTCCTACGTGTGTCTTTATATCAAAGAGCAATTGTATTGAGAAAACATCGTAGGAAGCTTAAATGGCTTTGCTAGGGTGACCCCAGGTCACAGGAGGCAAGCCACAGGACGTTTTGACCCCATGTGTCTGGTGGGGCAACCACTGGTTAGCAGTCGCTCCATGGCTTCCTACGAGACTACCCAAATCCAGACTGTTCTCCGTCTTGTCTAAAGCATTTTGGCAGTTCAAAGGACGTCCTGACAAGTGAGGTAAAACAGGTTTATAAGATTTTATTTTATTAGGTTCTAAACTTTCTCCGTGCAGGTTCTGTTAATTTGTACTAGAAACATCTCTGAAAGACAGGTGAGGGGGGCTTGTGCTGTGAGGTGCGGCTAAGTCGGTTCCAGCTCATTGAAACCCTATGTCATCCTCGCCTGGCTCTTATGTCGGAGTCTCTGGGGACATCGTCCTCTTTCCCCCTGGCTCTCGATTTCACTGCATGGATTCCTGCTCTAGGGACTGGTGACTCCTGACACAATTTCCAAAGTAGATCCGCTGAATAGAGGAACTCCAGAAAATCCATAGGGGCAATAAAACCCCAAGCCCACGATCTTTTCTCCTGGCACATTTTGAAGCCCCTCACAGGTACGTTCTGTGGCTTACGGAAGGCTGATTCCCTGGCAGAAAAAGAATCCACAACTGAGGATGAGGAACCACAGTCTCTCTGAACCTGTAACAACAGAAAGACACAGGGCCCAATTAAACAAAAGACAAAGGACTTAGCTTTTCACCAAAGAAGATCTATGCGTGGCCCATAGGCGCCCGAAAAGATGCCGGGGGGCCATCCGCCATTAAGAGGGTGTCAATCAAAATTAAGGTGACCAGATGTCCCGCTTTTCGCGGGACAGTCCCAATTTGTAACAATTTTTCCCATATCCCACGGGCCATTTTAAAAAGTCCCGATTTTTGGAAAGAATGCACGACAAGCTAGGGTCTACGGTTTTTGGCTGCCATGTGGCTATTTCGCCAGGATATGAGTTTTATCAATGGTGTCCCGCTTTACCAATGTTAAAATCTGGTCACCTTAGTCAAAATACACGGAGCCATCCCTTCGCCCTCGCGGACATGACTGCGTTTCACAAACAAACGGGCAGTGAGCAGAGGCGGGTGAGGCCGCAGAGGAATCAGAGCCCTGGGTCACGGCTTTGGGGATTGTACGGGGTGTGATCAGTGTGGAAACAGCCTGGTAGTCCCGTCAAGGGCTCACACCCCGAAGGGCCATGTGATGCCGGAGTTCTGCGTCCAAATTCCACCTCCAGGAGCACTGAAAGCCAGAGCACGGACAGATCAGGTGTTCACCGCGGTAACATTTAGTAGCCCTCTTCCTAATCCAGAAGGGGGAAGCCATCTAAATGTCCATCCACAGGTGAGCAGATACATCAAAGGGGGTCTCGCCTCGCCCCACGCGGGGCAATTCCTCAGCCATAAAGAGGAGCGGAGTCCTGATGCCTGTCCCAGCGTGGGTGAAACTCGAGAACAAGGCACCTGTGTGAAATAAGGCTGTCACAAAGGGGCAACCATTGTAGAATGCCATTCTAACGAAATAGAACGGGCGAATGCAGCGTCACCAGGGATTTTTAGGGGTCATCAGGACGGGGCCTTTGTTTTTGTTTATTTGTTTGTTTTCTTAAATACTACTTAGGCCATCCCTCCAGGAGAGTAGCCCCCTCTTCCAGAGAGCTCGAAGTGAACTTGGCTCCAGGTAACGCTCAGCAAATGTTTCTGCTTGTCGTCCTCCTGCTGTCGGATTACAAGGGGCCTGGGAGATCCTGTCACTGTAGCCAAAACCAGAGACCAGGTTGATTTGAGAAAGTCTAAGCGTATTCCAGCAAGTGCTCACGGCAGGAAGCAGCCAAGTATCTCCCTCCCTCTCTGGACTGCGTCAAAAATTCAGTGGAAATCAAGCAAGGCATCTACCTGAAACCATGGGACAGGGACAGGGTTTTGATCAATGATCACAGAAAGGGATTAGCAGGTTTTTATCGCAATCACAGGCTAGATTTCCCAATGTTCCTTAGGAAACTATCTGTACCTACTTTTCTCCAGGGGCCATTAGAGAGCCATCCCCTGAGGCTTCATGCGCCCTTCTTTATCTAAACTGGGGTGAGGCTTCCATGTCTGGCCTTCTCAGACAACCACCCCGAGGCCTCTGAATGGGGATGCCCCCTTGTGAGAGAGAGCCACTCTCTCACAAATGGAACGAAGGTCGAAGGTGAGAGTGGCATGGTCGCAATTGAGAAAGACAGATAAAGTTGAGGCGTAGCTTCTCCAGGCTCCCAAGAAGGGGCTCCAAGGCCCAGAACTTTATTGAGAGCAGGCTTACATACAGCTCTTGTCACGCATCCTGCGTTCCACGACAAGTTCTCACACATAGGGTTTGCTGACATTTTCTTCTAAGGCAAAGAAACAGTAATATTTCAGCCGATTTGTCTATAGTCTGGAGGGGAAGATAAAGCCCAAACTAGGGAACTGAACACTCGCAGAATGCTGTGTTTCAGCCTTTTCCTACAGAACAGGAGAGAACGTGTGTATCCTCATCGAAGGTCAGACCATCCATTGCCTCAGCTCCCCGGGTTTGAGCGGTCAGCTCCTTCCCATGGGCCTGGTCTAAACTCTGGAATGTAATGGTCCTGTTCTATTTGAAGGAGGAGATGATGTTCAGACTGTCCCATCCATGCACTCTGTTACTTGAAAGCCGGGGAATTCCGGGAGGGGGAGGGGGGCTGTTACATTTTGGATTTGTAACAAAGTGAATCTTAAATTATATGTCTAGCATTTTGATTCCCAGCAGACTAACTCTCTCTCCCTAATACTACCAGAAAACACCGCCCTGCCCCACGGCACCTACACGGACACCCAGCCCCCTTGCAGTCCAACAGCTGAAGGGCGACTCAGAACCGTTTGCCGAGTTTTCCTTGGAGCTCTCGGGAAGAGGGGGTTATTCTCCCAAGGAAGACCCACACACCAGCCTCTACAAACTTTTTGAAGGCCCCTTAAAAAGAGAGATTGATCTCAAGGAAAGGGCGCACAAGTTTTGTAGAAGTGGGTGAGTCCCAAGTCCAAGGGTCGGGTGTCAGACGGGAAGCTTCTCCTGACTCACATGGCTGCAGGCATGGATGGACCCAAGATCAGCAATTAGACAGCAGCTGCTGCCTCACAGGCTATGAGACTACTAATACCTCAATCGGCAGGCAATAGGGCAGGCTGTGTCTCAAGTCCAAAGAGCCAGAGGTCAGATAATAAACCCGATGCCTTTGAGAAAGGGCTGAGACCATGAAGAGTGAAAGGCTGGTTGCAAAAGAGCCATTGCCCGTGAGCCAAGGCCGTGGTCTGGATCCTTTTTTTTTTTTGAAGCTAAAACTGATCATTTTCACCAGCGTCACCACAATACCACAAGGGACCCCATTCTCCAGGGTGTCCTATCAGACCCCTTTCACGGTAACTCACTAGCTGTCAATCACACCTTATTACAACGTAGACTTGGATTCAGCAGGTCTAGGTGGGGCTTCGGCATCGACATTCCCAATAAGCAGCAGGAGCCCTGGCGGCGTCCTGGGTTGTGCATTGGGCTGCGAACTCCAAGGTCAGCAGCTGGAATCCCGTTGGAACCCACCAGCTGCTCCTGGGGAGAAGAAGGAGGCTGTCTGCTTCTGTAAAGATCGACAACCACGGAAGCCCACAAACACAGTCCTGCTCTGCCCACGGGGCTGCTGCGAGTCAGAATTGACTCCATGTGCGTTTATGTTTTTAAAGTGAACTTCCTGTACAGCCGCCAGTCATCTGTCAGTGGCTGAGATGTTGGAGGTCAATTGCCAGGCCTTTCTTCCAAGGTTCCTGAGTGGAGCCCAGCTTCGGACCTCTCAGTTAGCAGCCTAGTGAGCTCACAGTTTACACCATTTCCCGCTGCGTCACGAATGAGCAGTCTGTTGGAAGATGCTTTGAGACGCTGTGGAAAGATCCTGTTGAAGGCATCAAACCTGGGCATACCAGCAGCTTGGCAGGATTCCTGCCTGGTCCGCTGTGCTTGCCTGTCATTGTGGGAAAGTGGAGCTGGCCTGCTCCCAGGGGCTGTGGGGGCACTGGCAATCACTGGGCAGGACGGAGAAGCAAACCAGACCGGGCCGTGTGCACAGAGCAGGGCTGGAAATTGGAAAGGCTGAACAGGAGCAGAGGCGGAGGCCTCAGATGCCCCTACAATGCCCACTCCCCTTCTGTACCCACCTGCTGCTCAGGGCTGCTGCCACAGGCCGACCCTCTGCCAGCATGCAGCCCTGGATGGTCCAGTTTGCAGGAGTCTTGCCTCTTTCCGTTGGTTCTGGATTGAATTGTGACCCGATCCCCTCTCTCCAAATATGGGTCAGGAGCCCTGGTGGCGTCGTGGGTTACTTATTGAGCTGCTAACTTTAAGATCAGTGGTTCAAACTCACTAGCTGCTCCTTGGGAGAAAAATGAGGCTGTCTAACTCCTGCAAAGATTTATCAGCTAGAAGACCCAAAGGGGCTCTTCTACTCCGTCCTATAGGGTCATGATGAGATGGAATGGCAGTGTGACTGAGCACCCTGAGAGGTGCCCGAGTGTCCAGGCTAGCTATGATTCTCCCGATTGTGTAATTGGTCTTCATTTTGTGATGGGATGTCATTATCCTCCGGGTTGTAAATCCTCACCTCTATGATGTTAATGTCAGGAGAGACCGGTCCCTGGGGAAGGGCATCGTGCTTGGTAAGGTAGAGGGGCAGTGAAGGAGAGGAAGACCCTCAGGGAGATGGTGGACGGCACTGTGACTGCACCGATGGGCTCAGACGTGGGAACAATGGTGAGGGCGACACAGGACAGAACAAGGCTTCCTTCTGTTGTACGTTGGGTCACTATGAGTCGACATGCACTCACTGGCCACGAGCGGCTGAGTGAGAAAATAGGGTCAAATTAGCCAGGCTGTGATTCTCAGGCTTGTGTGCTTACTACCCTCCCTGTTGTGATGAGATGGGAATCTCCTGAGTGCTGAAGCTCTTCACCTCACTGCTGCTAATGAGGCAGGGCTAGAGGCAGTTATGTTAATGAGGCAGGATGCAATCTATAGGATGAGGCTGTATCTCTTTTGAGATATAAAAGGGATTTAACAAGTGAGCAGGAATCATAGGGGCCTACTACCACTAAGAAAGGAGAGCTTCGAGTGGAATATGTCCTTTGGACCTCAGGATCCCAGTGCTGAGAAACCATTAGACCTAGCAGAAGACTGACGATAGGGCCTTCCCCAGCCAAGAGAGGGAAAAGCTCCCCTGAGAACATAGCCTACTGCCAACTTTTCAGAAGAAGAACAAAAATTACTCATCATTCCCCCCACCCCCAGCAATGAAAAACCTCAGCATAATAGCCCCAAATCCAGGAGAAAGTGTAGGCATCTGATTTTACAGTCAGTCCCCTGGGATCGTTTCCCCCTTTGGGATACACTACCCTAGATCTAGTGCCCTGGATTTGGGCTTCTAGCCTTCTAAACTGTGAGAAAATACATTTCTGTTTGTCAAAACCCACCCCCCTGTGGTATTTCTGTTAGAGCAGCCCCAGGGAACAAAGACGCTATAGCACTCCTTGGAATGCCCCAGAAGCAGCCGAAACCCACTGCCATCAAGTCAATTCCAACTCTCAGCGACCCTATCAGACCCGTAGAACCCCATGTGGGTTCCTGAGACTGTAATTCTTTAAGGGAGCAGGGAGCCTCCTCTTTCTCTCCAGGAGTGGCTGCTGGTTTCAAACAGATGTTGCAGCCCAGTGTGTCACCCACTACACCACCAGGGCTCCATCCAGAAGCAGCAGTTATAGCCTTATTCTCAGAGTGTTCCAGGGGCAGGGTTTTGGACTGCTGGGCCTGGCCTGACCTTCCTCGCTGACTCCTTCACTCTGCCTGTTTGCTTTGCTCCTGCAAATATTTGTTGTGCTGGTTGGACACAACCCTGGGCTGGTGCTTAAGGTGGCACATTGGGGGTGAGAGGGAGCTCCACAGCAGGTGTCTGGGTGCTCCCTTCCACACTCAAGCAAGCATGAGTTTTCATGTGCTTTTCTGGAGATATTCTATAGGGGTGGTAGCTGCTGGGAGCTGCTGGCTGCCAAGCTGTGCCTGCCTCACAACGCAAGCCTGTGTTGTATCCCCTTCGATGCATGTGGGAGCTGGATGCAGGATAAGGAAGCCTGAAGAAGCACAGGTACATCAGAATGTTGGTGATGGGGAAGAACATGGACAACTCAAAGGACAAACCGAGGTGTCTTGGAAGAAGTCCGGCCAGAGTGCTCCTGAGAGGCAAGGAGGGCGAGATGTGGTCTGGCGTACTTTGGACGTGTTGTCAGGACAGACCAGTCCCTGGAGAAGGACATCGTGCTTGGTCAAGTGGAGGGGCAGTGAAGGAGAGGGAGGCCCTCCATGAGATGGACGGACACAGGGGCTGCAATGCGGGCTCGACCACGGTGAGGCTGGCCCAGGCCCAGGCAGGGTTCGGGTCTGTTGTGCACAGGGTGGATGCTAGGAGTTGGAACTGACCATGGCACCCAACAAGAGTAATGGGAGAAAGTGTCTGGGGTGGTGGGGGGAATGCTGCCTACAGCCATCTGGCAAATCCTTCCTAACAAGCATCTCAAGGTCGATGCTGGCCCACCC